CTCTATGCCCAGCTAAATAATAAATATGCTATTATCACTATAGTACCACTATTTAAAAAGCAAATTTCACACTGGCTCATGTATAAATATGGCCCTGTTATGCGTGAGATCCACGAATTTACTTTAATCTAAGTAGGTATATCCCATTATTTTTTTTAATCTTATTTTTGTCTCTAATTATTGTAAATTATATTGACTTCCGCTCATAAATTGTAAACATTTGTGTATGAAGTATTAACATGTTAACACATAGATAACCTTGGGCCTTCACACGAATTATCTCAGTGTAGCCCAGTAATCCGTAAAACGATTTTTTATGAAAATAAAATAATACCTAATACCAAGGATGTCCAATGATTCTATATACTATAGGCAAGTATTACTTAATATTATTATTAAATTATTACACGTTTAAGAGTATTACATCAGTAATATTACATACACGTGGATATATCTATATCTACGTCTATAAAATATGTCTTTGGGGGCTATACGAATAAACGGTAAATGATTATATTGTTATACTATTTAATATACATAAGATGTAATGTTGTATTACACGAGAGTCATACGTAAAACCATTTTGCGATTTAATAGCAGTGTATATAGTATTTATTGTTATTTATTCGATTCTCTAACTACAGCTAAAACCACTATAGAACCGTCTCTCAGATCAAATACATTGTAGATTTATTATTTCCTATAGCACGTTTCTAATACGTCTGTAATATAATTATTATGTACCTTTAACATTACATATCAGTTGGCTAGTTGGGTAGGTACCCGCGATATTTTACTTGAAGATATCAATATACCTAATATAATATTATTAATGTACGACTCGAGTGGGTTGCGTTTGATATTAATCCAAATGTAATGAGATCGCTTTGATATTGTAAAAGCGTGATGCAAGTTAATTATTGCGCATTTTATACATCTTACAATTAATGGTCGATAGTGACTTTAATCACTTTCGACAGTCGAAGAAATACCTACGTAGTCTAGTGAATCGTAATATTCATGGTACAACAGCGGTATGATAAGATCGTTAAGCTATATCAGCTCGTGTATTTATCAAGCTCTTTGTGTGAGTTTGGAGTCTTTAGGAATTTTTAAACAAAACAGTGTTAGGAGCATTCGCAGAAATTACTCTGTGAATTATGTCAATGCGTAACTAATGTAATAGGTACCAATAGACTATAGTGATGTGATAACTATATGATAATATGTGCACATAGTTATATAGAATATGTACGTATTAAAGAAGTCTGTCTACACATCACTGATCGCGATCGTCATGAACGTTGTTGTGGACAGCAGTTAGAAATATTTAATAAGCCTTTCGTTACAGTTAAATCGCATCGATGATAAACACTTGTCGATATAATTATTGTCGACACAACTACGTACACGCGTAGTTGAACATTAATTTTACAATACTCACATTCCGCGTAGATACCTCTCCTGTACGTTTACGCGCACACGCGATAATATTGTACACAAATAGCTGGTATTGATAACTACCAATTCAATAGAATTTATTATCATACACACCCACAAACATAATGTACATTCGTATTTATAACGTACACGGTTGACGGTATACAGTCGCATAACATTTGTAATTAAAATTTACATTAATTGCGTCAGAGACTTCACGTTACACACACAATATTATCATTGATATCGGAGATATTTATACGCGTTCATATCACGCACCATACGGTCAGACGATGCTTTACATCGAATGTTCGATTTTTTTTTTTTTTTTTTGTATCATTTTTATGCGCAGACAACTACTACAAACCGAGTATAGGTAATTTATATAAAATATTGTTTACAGATGCGTAAATCGCTCGTTCACGTAAATGTGTTTTTTTTTTTTTTTTTTTAATCGAAGTACCTTGTACTGTAATATTATACATAGCACACAAAACACATTATTTTATTAACATCATAATATTATATACAATTCGATCGCCGTAAAGACTTCGCCGTAACCGTACATAATACTATTATTGCTCTAAACTATAGCCGGTGCTCCGTGTACATTTATAATAATATAATACGTAGCACGGACGGGCGAGTGGTGTAATTATATCGCATGCAGATCATTATTGAGAACAATATAATATTTTAACCGACACCGTCGATTCGATATACGGCAGGTTGTGCAGCTCTGCTTTACGACAGCCAGTTACTTGACATTTTTGCATGACATATCGATTTTCCGATTACAGCCCGACTTTGATGTGGCGGGACACCGGGGATAAAAATTATGATTACGAGACTCAAAAAAATCCGAATGCGGTCGGACGACTATAAATCTACGAGCAAACACTCTGCGGGGGCGCGCGTATAAAATAATATGCAGCTCGATTGCAAAATCTCGAGGATGCAAGCGCAATAGTAAAAAAAAAAAAAAAAAAAAAAATAATAAAATCGATTAACGAATCTAGATTTAGGTATTATTATGATAACTTTCGAAATCTCAGTGGGTGCACCAGCGGCACCCTGTGAACACCGTTATTGTGATGGATGATGGTTTTTATTTATATTTTGAGACGTAATCGTTTCCAGTTTAACGTTGTATAACATAATCGCCGGACGTATTATAATAATATTATTATAATACGCATTCTGTTCGCTGGAAATATATAGGTTTTGAAACCCATAAAATACGTGGTCACCTATTTACGCCTAATGTTTAGGTGTAACGAGCCTACGAAATTTACAGTACTGCGAAAACGCTGGAGGTCTCACGCTAAATTGAACGAGATCAGTATAAAATGTATAATTATCGTACGTATAGACATATTAAAGCGTCCATACCATGTACTTAGCTGCGAATTATTCAAAGTGTATTTTCTCGAGTTATTATTCTGTTCTGTATATTTATTATTATCCTTAGATTAATATGTAGATTTTAAATATCACAGTAAACTTATTGTAACAATATTCTTGTTCGCGAAATCCCGTGTAATTATAACTTCTGGGGTTAACGGAATTGTTATAATTAGTAAATTATTTTCTTTTTTTTTTTTTTTTTAATAAAGTATCTTCACCAACAAACAGCCATTGTAACATTTTATTGACTTCATAATTATGGCCCAAACCATTTAATTTTACATGTCTTGTATTCCCATAAGTTTTATAATGTACGCGTTTTTGTTGAATTATTTAAAAAAAAAATACACCATCAATTCTCGCGCTACATCAAATTAAACTTTCGGTGTTTTGATCATTGTTTCAGTGGATTGAATTTTTTATGAATTCATATTTAATATTTTATACTAATCGACTAGGACAATGGACACTGATTTAATCGAACATTCTCGTGTAAAATGTTGTCATCTTTTAACCTAGGTCGTAATGTATGAGTTTGATGGACATATTTTTTTCTAATCTTATTTCCAATAGGTACCTATATTATTTATATATGTACACGCGTTTATGGATTTAAATGGTTCAATGAATGTGTAATTTAATTTCTTACAGTTTTACAGTTTGTGTAGTCACAGATTTTGTTGTATATGATGCCTATTGCATAAATTTAATATTATGATGTATATACGTGTATATGCATGCAAATTAATCAGATCGAAAGGATAATATTGATGATAGTAGACTATTTTATTTATAAGATTATATTAATTAATATCGAAGAGATTGAATTTAACTTTTAACAATTTATACATTAATTTTATTGTAACATAATATTATAATTGTACGTAATTCAATTGTTGTAAATAATAAATAATATAATTACAACATATTACATTAATCATAATTATTTGAAAACTAAATACGAATACATTATATGAATAATTCTTACAGAATAGATTTGAAAAAACTAAAATATTTTTTACGAGTTTTGTAATCGTACAAATTACAAATTAAATTTAAATAATTATAATGCTGATATTTTGTAAAAATCAAAGTAAAATAGCATAAAACTTTTTCCATGGTTAAAAAAATAAAAACAATAAATCAAAATGTTAAAAATTCAGTATCTAATTATTGTTTATTTATTTATAGTACCTGAAATATTTAGAGTGTCACAATAAAATTACTATTTTTTTTATTTATGGACTATGGTCAATGTCAATATATCATAGTAAAATTTAAATGCAACTTCACCGTTGTTGGATGGAATTATTAATATCTTTTACTAAACTTTTTAAGTCATACAATTCTACATGGAGTATGTTTGTTAATTTTTGTATTTAATATTATTAATGAATCTCATATTATTTGTTGTATTAATTAAAATATAATTTACTTCAGATTTTTTTTGTTTGGACTATATCTTTGAATAGTTTAATCACGCTTGATCAACACTAGTAAATAGTATTATATCCACATTTCATATAATTTTTATGAATACACGGCTATAAACTATGTTGAAATTCGCAGATCGCTTAGAATTCGATTGGCTTTTGGATTCAAAAAAAAAATGTCGAATTTCAAGAACACGTTGGACGTGATTCGTTTTCAGATGCGACCACATACCGCGTAAGGTCCTCAAAAATGTTTGTAGGTATAATTTAGTATTTATACACGTACCCATATTATTATACCCAATACCTATGCGTATAATAATACTCAGACGACGACTACATATTTTGAATTGACGAGACTATGTTTTTATATGTATACACACACAAACTGTTCCTCGCACGCCGTTGCCTCACGATAAGAATTAAAGAGGGAGCAAACTCGAAGAGGAATCCAATTTTTTTTTTTTATATCAAATTTTTTTTTGGAGTCTAGAATTTGTTTTTCATTTATTTTTGTTTTGTTTTGTTTTTTTTTTTTAAAAAATTTTCGTGTTTTGCCGATACGTCAGGTGCTGGCGGCCCACTTTTTTTCCCGCGGGTACTCCAAGGCGGCGGCACACAACAACAACAATCATTACGAAACTGGTTTGCCCGGGTTACGGCGGCGGCGGCGGCGGCGGCGGCGGCATTCAAGAGCATAATGCAGGCCGGTCGGGGCACATCACATGCGCTCGTCAGCAGCCGCACACGCACTATCATACTCACGCGCGGCGATCGTCCGTCCCGTTCCGTCTCGTAACGTTTCGAGCACGCTCCTCGAACTCGGCGGATTTACAATAAAATTTATAATATTAATTAGTTATCGAACGCCTATATATATATACACTGCATAAGAAGTTAAAAAGTCGTAAACGGTTATGTAGTGTTTCGTGGTATTAACCGTGTACCTCCGCATAAAATATGTTTTAAACGCACTCGCAAGTATCGTCAGGGCACATCAATTATATGACATTTTCTGTCGACAAACGTTAAGTGCGATTCACGGGGCTATACTTTGTGATACGGGATTGTCAGTAATCTGTGCAACTACAATCGGTGCGTAATCGTCGCCAATTTTTTCGTTCTGCGAACCGTTTTTAATTTATAATATTATATATTTACTGTGCGTAAATATATAATATTACATTGGCACCGTTTGCTCGTTTTTGTTTATGTGCGCGCGAATAATACGTATTTGTGTGTGTGTGTCCTTTGCAGCGGTCGCATAAATGGTCAGGAAACCGAAAGACGCGAACATGGTAAGCGCATATTATTTTGTTTTATTTCATACATAAATCCGATAGGTTGTACACCACTGCATGTGCATGTGCAAGTATTTTATATGTTGATTAAATTAATATCGTCATTTTATTATGTTTCCAATGGTTATAAACACAAAGCGTGTTATTTAACTGAAAAAGAGTTAAGTAGCGGATTGATATTTATCGCCCACATTAAACAAACATATTTTATACTCTATAGCAGACATGGTAAAAGACACGAATCGTGCAATGTAAACATTTCAAAATTTGCTGAACATTTTTAGGTAAAATTTATTTTTGAATATCTATATCACATATTTAAAATAAAAAATACGTATTTTTAAAAATTAAATATTTATTTAGTTTTTTATTTACTGAATGAATAATTATAAATGGGCATAACAATTTAATCTATATAATATGTAATACATATTATATTGCCAGTGTTTATTTGTTATTAAATATCAACTTAAACTCGCTTATATTTATATTAACTGTTTTTTTATGCTGTATCTTGTACATAAATATTATTTTATAATTCTCCAACAATCTCAACATAATATCATAATTACCGAGTTGTAACTGAGCCAAATAATATTGTAATACTTTTTACACGTTTTATTTATTTGACATCTGTAAAACGATAATTAATCGATTTATTTTATGCATGTTACATTCCGGAAATACTTTATTTAACCTGAGAAAATATTTATTAAACAGGTATACCTAATCACTGGCGTACTCAGGAATTTTTCGAAAAGAGGGAAGATCTAAATTTTTTTAACATGTAAAAAGTACAAAAAAAAAATTATGTCATTAAAAAAAAAAAAACAACAATTGTGATTCATAAACTCTTAAATTGGTAAAAGAAATAAGTATAAGTACAATTAAAATTAAACCACAAGTAAGAATGTATTATAAGAATTTTAAATAAATTCTGTCAATCTGTCAAATCTCTTCAACTTCGTTGAAATTGAATTAATTTTAACATTTTATTACATTACTAGAATAAATATGTGTTATACTGAATATTTATTTCTTATAATGAAATTATAACTAAGTAACTATTTTTTTTACATTTTTATCATCATCATCAATCATATTCACAGCAAGTTTAAGTTGATGTTATAGAACATCGATTTTACTCAAATCTCCAATGTTGTTTTGATGATTTAGATTGTTTGGAATATAAATTATGGACTAAAACGTTTATATAACTATGAAAAATCTATAGATAGTCACTGAAAAAAAATTGTTTCATAACATAGAATATTATTAGGTATTAGTGTGTATATTATATTAAGTAATTACAAATATTTACTTATTAATTGATTAAAAAATATTAAATTTTATAAAATATTATACACACACACACACACACACACACACACACACACACACACACACACACATAGATACAGATTTACATATAAATTGTGTCTACCTAAATTATTTGTTTCATAAATTATAACCACTGGCCAACATTCATAACGAAACCGCTATTTTATGTGAAAATGCAAGAATGTGTATTTAATTGCTTTAGCCCAGTTTTTATTAAATATCCGTAGCGAATATGATGGGTACCAGATTTCCAGGATAAAATATGTCAGCACATTATATTATATACTATATTTTATATTATTTAACGTTTAAAAAGGTTGATATAATATGTAAATAAACGAGTATAATATGATTTATCACTTAAAATTTTTCCCCACGATTAAAAGCAGAATATTATATTACGTGTTTATAATGTAATTGATTATTAATATTATTATTATTATTATTATTACCTAGTCAGTGATCGGTGAACATAAAAAATAAAAATATTATGGTATGAGTAAATTGTTTATTTTATGTTACTATGTTAGAAATTCATTAGCGTATTTTTTTATACATCCATAGTATGCAATTATTTACATATTAAACAAGAGAAAAAAATCTCGTATAAATAAAATGATAAATAATCTATTTGAGAGTTTCCAAATATGTATGACGCTTAACTATTATAAGTATGATACTGCAATGTTATCGAATATTGAGACAGTGAAATATTAATACCCTCTTATTTGGGGTGTGGAAAAACCGTTTTGCAAATAAGCTCAAGGTTAAAGCCACTAATGGTCACAGCCACATCCGTAATTACTACTTATACTTGATTTCGTGGCGAAAAAAATACATATAAAATAAGAGGTAGAAGATATGCACACAATGGAAGTAGTTAGGCTATATTTAATCTTAATCCATACCAGCTAGATAATCTCAAGTGTGTTACGTACTTACTTCACATGTAGCCGTAATAAAGGTATGAACAAATATGTACCTATTATAATTTATTATTGTTATTTTTTATTACGTCTTTTACTAAGCAGTCATATTAGTACTAATATATTTTTATTTTTTTTTTAACAGTTAGCTTACAACAATAATAATATACAACGTGTATGCTTATGAAAATAGTATGGGTACTAAGAATTTCTAAGTAGGAATCATTATTTATTTTTTACTTTTTGTAACACGTGTATAATAGACGCGACTCGTTTGCTTTAGTAAAAACGATTAATTTTATATTGACCGAACGTTATTATACATATACATATATATATATGTGTGTGTGTGTGTATTACGACTGTATGTGGTAGGCCGTAATAATAATATAGAAATATTATGATACATCAAATGAATTAGATTATTGAATAACTTTCGGGTCCTGTTCATAAATTATTTACCTACCGATTTTACGCAATTATATTTTCTAATCGACGAAGAATCAAGACAGGTTACGATAGAGTAAAATTTAAACTTTCACGATTAAACATGCAATGTTAAATAATTAAAAATGAAACATAATTCCGCATTGCTGGAATTTTACTTAGAAGTGCATTCTTCATGAAAGAGATATTAAAAAAAAAAAAAAAAAATTGTGACAAGTTATACATAGAAAAGGCACTAAAAATAAAAACCGACTTGTAGTTAAATTATTATTATTGAATTTTATATAATATTTTGATGTGTATTATAAATTATTAAATATTCCCACGTATTTGTAAACAGAGTATTGTAATAAAGAAGGTTAAGTCAATTTTGTGTACTTAAAAAATAATTTCATGGTTCATGCATACTACCGGAAGTTATTTTTATTGTGCATTGGAGTCGAAACACTTTGAATGTTTATTTGTTTAACAGTTCATTATCTCACTAATTAACATTTAATTGTAAAAATTACTCTCGACACTTAAACAGAATGTCAATACAGTACTTTACGTTCAGGATTTTAGTATCATGTTACGCCAAGTGAATTTTATATATGATATTATATTAATACTTGCTTTGTTTTGTCAAATGAATGTTCTATTGCGATTTAATACAACTAAATAGCTTTATGTACATAATGAAAAAATGTATTTACTTCTGTACAAAAACTGAACTGAACACATTTTATCTATTTAGTTTATTTATAACTGTATTAATGAGTTTCAAAATTTTGAACATTTTTCATTTACGGTTTGACGTTTATACATATTATACAGTCTACTTACACTACTTATAAATAACTTTCTTCAAAAAAAGAAAATTTCTTTCAATCAAGCATCCCAACATAAATATATAACAATTATAGAAGAAACATAACTTAAAAATTGTAATTCATAATAAAGAATAGTGAATCATTGTTCGTGGGTTATTCATGATTAACCTGGAAATTCAACTGAATAAAATTCAATACATTGCATTTTCACAATTCCAATACCATGAAATTAATGTTTTCTTTTTGTGTCGGCAAAATTTAAAATTATATGTTTCGGATGTCTGTGCCCATATATTCGATGATATGATATACTGATAAAGCTGTAAAGATAAAATATAATACACATTCAAGTATATTACCAGCTAATTGTAATTTAAAGAAAACTTTTGATATACAATAAATAATGAATTTTCGAGAAATGTTTTCATGCACTGAAAATCATATTAAATATTTTGTGAACGTGGTTTATCACTTTATTTTCACTTGAGCAAGTACACATTTTGTAGATTCTAATAATTAATAAACATCATAATTATCAGCTTAATTTTTATATTTTTCTCTTTTCTTTAAATTAACCTTAATAATTTGTACATAACCATAGTCAAATAATTAAAATAAGAAAATGACGTGTTGATAAAGTTTATAACGACTGTATTTATTAATTTATGAAGTTCACTTAGAGTTGGTTAAGGAAACCATTCTTTAAAAGCATTTTCTATTACTTAGACATTAATGTAATCGGTGGATTCACTTTAATAATAATTATTGACCTTAGACTCTTTCTCACTCGAACAAGTTCATTAATTATTTACATTTTTAGAGCTTTATTATATATTCTCAGTGTTTCAGATCAATTGTTATAATTTATAAATTATAATAATATTATTATATTATAGGTACTTCCTAATCAACGAAATTGCAAAATTGTTTTTTCATTAGTTATACAGAAAAATCTTATCCTTAGAAGTACTTTAGATTATAATATTATACCCTTGTAGAACCTCATTAAACTTTCCACACGAACTCTACACGGAATTTCTTATTGTTGCGCGATTTCTTATTTTCCCGTTACCATTCGTTTACCGGTAAAATAACATATTTTTACCAAATACATCCGTATTAATTATCCGCAGATTACGGTTCTTCTCACCTAATCCATCATAGTGGATTTATTACGGCGTATTTGTATGTTATGTACCTAATCGTGTTCATCACCGGATAATCACAATATTCAGAAACACATCATAATAAATGATATTTAAAAAGAATACGCGTCTAAAACGTATATTTATTTTTGCGGAAATTATACACCAGAAAGATAGACCTGCGTAATTTACCCCGGGGACTCGACGCGTAATCAAATACTCGTACATTAAAATATTATGTACGATTCCCTGGTCAATAATAGTTTCCGCTCATTCGTGTCGGTCGAAACTCGTATTGGCAGTAGCAGTAGCGGCGCACAAAAATC